AATAATTTCATCTACTCGAAAAAATAGAGATTTTCATTACAGAATCTGTTATGTTATGTTACTAGATCTTACCTATTTTGTAAAATTTTATTCAGTATTTTAAATCAATATATGTTTAAATAAATTTATATTTACTTATTATACTTACATAATTTTTGTATTTTTTATAATAATACACATTCCATCAGACCTCTGATTATGTGATGTTTTTATACTCGTACCATCTGCTCATTCTTATAATCCGCTTAATTAAATGTATGATTAATAAATTATACAGTTTTTTCACGAAATTTTAACTTTTATCTTATCTTTCTGTAGAAAGTAATATAATTGCGCATCAATTTCATATGAACAGTTCTTTTGTGTAATAAATTTATTGATAAACAAAATAGATTATTTTAATAAAATTATAATCTGTTATACAATCACTTTTGAAACATCACTCTGAATAAATAATATTAGGAAGTACTATTTATTAAATGCAGAAGGCTGAGTATAAATTTAGGAAGTTAAAAAATTAAATTTTAAGATAAAATTTAATTTAAAATAAATTTTAAAGATAGCTAAAAGATCTGCACAGACAGGTATTTTTTAAAAAGTTACTTTTTTCGTGCTATTTGATATTTCAGATTTTTTAAATAGAATGAGAATAAAATATTGTAATTTACTCAATGGTACATATTTTGCTAAATTATTTTTTAAGAAATCTCTAAATAATAAGCTTAAATAAGTACAGAAAATGTCAGCTAATTAATTAATATACCTTTCACACCTAATCCACATCTAAATCTTTATAAAAAATTATGTAATTAAAAAATTAGTAGGAATTAATATAAATTGAAACAAATCTTAAATATTATTCAACTGCCTTATACATTTTTTTTAATATCTTTGCAGGTGTTTCTCCGATTTTATGAAGTCTACAGTATTATAGTGGTCAGTGCAATTTATTTCAAGTTTTGAATATTTACTAATAATTTTTCAATGTATAATTTTCATAGTGCTTATATATTATATTAGTGCAGTGAAGTGTACAAAATGTGAGGACGAAAACCTCGAAGATCCTGATTAGCCTTCTTCTGGAAGTCCTGAGGTAAATTTTTTTTTCAATTAATTATTTTCAGAATTTATCACAATTTTTTATGTTTAATAAATATTATTTTATGTAGACAACAATTTGGTAATCGAGATGTTCCAGAAGAATTCGAGCTTGTTTGGTGAGTACTTTTAAATTCTATGCATGTTCAGTGTTAGAATATAAAATAATTAAAATATAAATCAAAATTCTTAAAATAATAATCGAATTGAACTTATTTACGATCATGCTGAGTTGTAAGAGTCATTCATTTTTCTCTCATACATATTTTCTATTTATTGTATTTTTTGTTTTGTATTTTTTCTTTTTTCGCACATATCAATTTTGTAAATAAGGCATTAAAGTCCTTATTAACAAAACATAAATTGTAACAAAAAAAAAATACATATTTTCTTTTCAATATTAATATATTCAATTAATATATTTTATGTGAAAAGATTTTAAAATGTAATGGAATTATGCCAATTATTTTTTATATTATATTATCAAATTATTTTCATGAATTAATTTATTTTATATTATGAAAATTATTATTCAACAAGTGCTGGTTTATATTAAGATTCAGTACATATTCGGAAATAATTTGAATAGAGCCTATGATAAGCAAATAATCTACTTCAGAGTTTTATCCATACATGCAATATAAATTATTTCTTATGTATTTATTGAATTTTCCAATTATTTATTCTTCTATTTTCTATTATTATCAGAAATGGATTTGCTTCTCTACTTGTTATGTTAGTCCTAAAATAATAATAGTCTTTGAAAAGCAATGTTGGTACGGAACCTAATCATACGTATTTTTAAAACGATACTAAATTTTGAAATTATTAGTTTAAATTTAAATTATTTATATTTTTCTTCAATATTACCAAATAATTTGAACAAGTTTGAAAATAAAAGCTGCGGCATCTCTGAAGAAGCAAAACATATAACGTACACCTGTTGCAAGTTTGTTCGGATCTCCAATTTGTAATGATTCTTACATTATTAATTTATCTTATTTCTTATTATATGATTATTATTTATTCAAATTGCTCAAGCTTTCGTATTTTCAAACCTTTGCAAACATTATTGGCAATAACATGTCTAACCCACACAGCCTCAAATATTCTGAGGTAATAGATGCAGAATTCTGAAAGGTTTGCAGATGTAGATCAAATTAGGTATATTTATGGTATAGATCCAGAAATTACTTAAACTTCACAAAACGATACACCAAAAAGGTAACTTAATCATGTATCATATTCTGAATGAATGAGCTAAGAAATAAAGATAATAAAGTATCTACTAAAATAAACACTGGCTAAATGATAATGCCTTTTATAATGAGTTCCTCAGTTCAAATTGTTTGTAGAACATTCTTGTAATTTACATTCAACAAAATTTTAATTTAAAAATATATATTGATAAGATAATACTTTGTAAATATATGGACTATGATTTTGTCAGCTCTATAAAATGATTCCCACTTGCAATCAGATAAAAAATGAAAACAAATAAATAAAAAATATTGTGTTCAAGACACCTCTTCCTTATAATCACTTAAAAATATTGCTTTTAACATCGATGCACATATAATTTTGTTTCAGATTATTACATCACGTAAAATTATAAATAATGTTTAATACATATTTTTTAGTAAATTTTAGTATATATTACAATCTACCAAACATGCCAACTTTTGTCTTCAGTATCGAATGTTATACCGCATTTTCGATATTGTTCTTTTAATGCATGATAAAAAGGGTAGAAATCAATAATATTGGTCTTTAGATGTTTTGTATGACCATGCACTGCTGAAGATCTTAATGGAATCACTCGAGCTCCTTCCTGAAATAATATATTTATTATTATTTATTTGGACTTTCATTGAAAATTACTGATTTTGATGGCAATGATAAAACATCCACAATATGGTTAATTGAAAATTTACTAATTTAGTATTGTGTGTTGAAATTAGACTATTTTAAGCTGCTTTGCTGTAAACAAGTTGCAGCCATATTGGCATCGAGAAAAACTTCACAACAAAAACAAATTTATCGATTACCATTTTTTGGTATATAAATTCATTCAAATGCGTCCAATAAGCCCAGCAAAGTCGAATTCTACAATGAATCTACTCTATTATTCTATTGTTAATAATAGCTCCTTTATTATATTGCTTACTTCTTCAGCAATTCCCATTTCAACAATTGCTCCTCGTTTCCTGTCACCTCTTTTTGCCCGAATGTCAAGAGGTTCATAAGACAAAAATAAGGCATCAAAGGCACCAATATGGGCCACCGGCTCACCTGAACCATCGCCAGAACGAGGGCCAAAATATGACATGGGAGGTTCAGCTAACAAGGGATACTTTTTTCGGATCTGTATATTAGAAAGAATTTAAGGAGGATTGAAAAAATACATATTTTTATATGATATTTATAATAACTGCACTGGCTAATAATTCTTGTCTAAAAGTTCAATACTATAGGAGTTGTCTTACCACAAGATAATGTAAGACAGGTTCTTGCGAATCAATGCAAGATGTGACAAAACGTGGGAACTTGAACCCATATAGCAAATATTTTTTGGAATCTATTTTAAAATTATTTTTAACATTTTATTTCCTTCTAACATGAAGAAAACATGCTTTAATGATCAAAAACTGTCACAAATATTACGAAACTTGTAGCTCTAACTGTAGTAGCTTGTAGCTCATTCCACTTAAAATTCTTACCACTAAAATTTATTTATTCATTCCTGATCTGATATTTTTGTATATTTTAAATAAGTCAGTTTTACCGTTTCTTCTCTCCATTGCTGATATTTCAGAGCAGCCTCTTCTTGTAATGCACGATTATCCATAATGTTTCAAAATTCCATAAATAATAATACCTCTACAAAAATATTTTTACAAAACAAAAATCTAACAAAAATTTAATATTTCTACGTCAAACTTGATTCAAAAATACATAATGAAATAAAACAATGACGATTTTGTTTATGCATACGATTTATTTTGAGATCTGGATGATAAATTAAAAAAATGTTTATACATTGATTATTTACTTGTAGTATAATTATTGTTATATTTGATAAATATTAAATATACATCGACTAGTTTAGAAACGTGTATGAAATGTATATTTGAAAATTTGAGCTTTATGGATAAAATACTAATATTTTATATTTTTATTAAGAACTAATAAAAGTGAGGTAAACAGATATTTGAGTAATATTTTAAATTGGTATATATAACTTCAGTATATATTATATATTCAGAACATTTTTTTGAAGCAAAGCTATTGCTTTTTGATGATTGAGATTCTTATCATTATTATTTATTATAAATATGCTTAATTTACCATAGAGTTGTAGTACATTTTATATAATTCTAAAATTAAGTGAATGAATATGATAATTATATACAAATGATTTTTTGAAATGATTTTCAATGCTTGATATTTTGGGAATCATTTAGCACAACTAGTGCAAGCTGAGATAAAATGATAATATTTGATTTACAAAACTTAATATTAAATATTTATATGAGTTTATTTTAAATTATTAATTTAATTAATTATGCCAATATATCAAATTTTCACTCCATTAAACTTAAGAGGAGAGAACTTTTGTTAGATTTTACTGGCTTTCACTAGTTGGATTCCTGAACAACCAAAATAAGAACATTAATTATTTGTTATATTGCATTTTAAAATAAATTTAATTTGGAAATTTCTTAAAGTAAATTGTCAGTTTATGTTCGACTATATTTATAATCTCCAAAAGGAACCCCATATTAAATCTTTGGACATGATACTACTCAGTTTAATCAGTTTTTCCAAAAACAAGGAAATGTTCGTTTTTCTTTTCAATTTGATGAAAAATTCTTATCTTTCGATTTTCCTTTTTTTATTATTTAATTGCATTCTTGTCGTTGGGTGGTAGTTATACAAGTTTTACATTTAACGTAGCAGCACCAATGATAAACACAGTGACATCTTTCAATTTTCTCCTCAACAACCGTATTGTAGCCACGACCACAACACAAATGGTGGCAACTGCCAACACTAAGTCCTGTAACACCCACCGAACAGGTCCTGGAAAAGGATATAATATAATAAGAATATATTAAAAATATTTCAATCACTTTGGAAAATGTTTTTCATAAGGCAAATAACAAATTTAGACCAAAATCTCAAAAGAAAACATATTATAGTACTAATTATTTCAACCTCTCAATCCTTCTATATGATCATATAATAAATGAAAAAAAATCTTATTTACCTTCCTTTGGTACCAAAACTTCCTGCAGATAAATCTTCTTCACAATAATCAGGACTTTTTGTCAAATAAATAAGTTGATTAGACATCGGCGCTGTAACTACAGGTGCCACACCAGATAACTGTGTAGCTGAAATATAAATTTCATCTAAATTCAAATTCGAATTATTTTTTCAATAATTTACCTACTTGTTCCCAATCGACGTGGAGCAACTTCCACAGCCTGATCCATTTTCCTCAAGAGCTTTTGACCGGTGACTGTTAAAGCTTCCAGAGCTTTCCAACATGTTTTCACACTACAAGAACCGGACACTCCATGCATTTACAAGTAATTGCTTGGGATTGTTGAACAACCTAAATAAAAATAAATTATATTGATTTTTATAGTGAATATAACTTGAATTACAATGAATTACTTTTCGGCCTATTCTGTTGTTATGAAGATTCATTGCAGCTAGCCTTGTGTGAAATTTGATCATGTCGGGATCTGCTTGTAATTTTCGTTTTTTGGCGATCGTTTTATTATTAGCATTTTTAGTTGCTTGGTCGAACAATTTATTTTGGGCAGCAGTTTCCTCATCAGTCATTTTGCCAAATCTGGAGTAATAAATGTAATATATATATAAAATTAAATTAATACTATGTAAATTGGTTGAGCGTATAATTTAAGCTCAAAATTTGGCAAAAAGTTGATTTTGGCTGACAACATAAAATTAGCAAAACAGATTTTCTGGCTAAAACTTTACTTGTAAAATTTAACTTACTTGTCTTTAAACGGCGTAGATTTACCATCTTTCAACTTCCTCTGCCTCCTCCTCCGACGTCTTCTTCTTTCATGAAGAACACTTGCAGTAACATGAGTTCTTTCCGTGGCATCTAAAAATCTTTTGGCAAACAAAGATCCCCAACGAACATTGTCAGAACAACCGCCCCATTTAAAATTACCACCTGGTGGTTCACCTGGAGGTGGTGCACAGGAGCAGTGGAAAAGCTCTCCTGCGGCGCAGGCACGAGCTATGGCTAATGTAACTGCTGCTGAACCTAGGGCGTACATGAATGCCTGCTCCCTTGTACCTAGAAGATAAAAAAATTAGAAAAATTTGATTTAGATTTCCAAAATTCTGATAGTTTTCTAAATTAATAAAATATAACGCTACCGAGTCTTCAAACAATTTCTTGAATTTCTAACACTACAGCATTGAAAAGATTCCACGTAGATGTTTTTGCTCTAGGTATTCAACATAACAATATAATTTTGAATTAAATAGGATTGAATAGTAATTTCACAAGCGTGGAATAATTATAAATAAATTATTTATTATGTAATATTACTACCTACAAGTGTACAAAAATTATTCCATTCTGGTATCATCTACTTGTCTATTTACCTATATCACCACGCTAGCAATTTCATTAATAATAAACAAGATAGCTCTCTCGCCAAGTTTTTGTAGAATTAGTAGGATAAACTATCAAAAATTCATGAAAAACCATTTTTCAAGAGAAAGGTCTTGGTAACTTAAGCAGCTGTGAAAATTGCTTCTCTGCATGAAAAATGATTTTACTATAAAAAATGTAGAAATGTTCGAGCAAGTGTTTGGAACAATTTGGTTAAAAGTTGATGTGGAAAAGTGAAATAAAAATAAAATAATAATCGTCACTAATAACAAGTTTGCCACGTTCCAAATGGTGAACCAAAATTTATATTGTCACTAAATAGTTATTCAAAAATCTGTATTTAGCACAATCTATCAACTACATTTATCGGTTTCATACATATGTATATACTATATATATATATATATATATATATATATATATATATATAGTGTTATATATATACTACCCAAGTTTTCTTAAATTAGCCTACGCCTTCTTTTATATTTTGCTGAGGCAGTTAATTAAATAAAAATGTGAATTTATAGCCATCGATCATTGTTTTCTTAATAACCTTCTTTCATATTATACGTCTTTAAAACTTTGTGTGTAAACATGATTTAATAATTCATTTCAAAAGTTTTTCAGACTATCATTTATAACAATTTTTACGTCTGCAACAAGCCACCTTGCATCACATGCAACTTTAGTTAAGCTTTTAAATATGTTCTGCATGGAAGTAATGAATAGTTGGGAAGGCTGGTGGAAAATTAGCTAAGAAATAAAAAACTACAGAAATAAAATATTGTTAATACAGTTAATTGGATAATTTCTCAACATAAACTATACAAGGTAACATGTTGCAAAATTATGGAATTAACCTCATAATTCTAATAAAAAGACTTTTTGTTGTGTTCCTCTTTTAATTGAAACTATTTAGAAGTGTTTTATCGATTCAGCGTTTTTTGATATGTTATGATTTTTGACCTCTATTGTACGTTTAAGGTTGTTTCCAATATTTCACTATTTTCGAAATATTAATTTTGTTTTGTTATTAATGAATACAGAAAGTGCTACAAACTGTAAAAACATGATACTATTCTCAATTTATATAAATAAATTCGTAAATAGATGGTTTGGGCTTTTCTTCTATGCTGGCATACCATAGAATAATAAATTTGTATCTTGATTATGCTTACAATGTTTGCACAAATTCCGTGTGGGATATATACTTTTAGAATATATTATGTAGAAAAACTGTCCAAGTGAACATGTCACCTATAATTGCAGTATATCGCATAATTTATATCTAAGCATGTATAGACAATCATAGGCCTGTGGCCAAAAACCAACTTAACTAGGCGGAATTGTTTTTCCACTGATATTTTAACTTCCCGTAGGGTAAGTTATTGTAATCATCCAAAAATCGAAATTGAAAATTTTTGTATTTCTCGACGTTTTGAAGGTTTCTGAACATTTTGGCATACCTCAGAAAAATGGATGTATGAGTGTGTGTGTGTTTTGTGTGTCCGCATTTTTGAGTTTATGATTTTACACATTCTGCATGTCAATGCTAACCAGAACAAGTAATATATTTTTTCAAATCAGTGTTTATTCCGACATTTCTAAATTTATATATGTGATCAAAAACTTTTCCGCAAACCACGTGTATCCCTAGTGTAAAATATATAATAAACTTTGGAAATTTATCACAGTTTATTCTGCCCGAAGGTACATATTTGCACCATCTGCATATGTGGGAGTGTTGTATGCAATAACCGACTCAAAATGTTGTATGTTGCTGGATATTGTATTTATATTATCGCAAGCAAAAATCTCTCACAAGCATTAAGTTTGAAACTAATCGAATTCTTGCTCCAGTTCACACCGAAGATATATGACTAAAAAAGAAAAAGGGAGAAAAATAATTGAAATTTTAAGTATATCACCGGAAAAATGACTAATTAATTTGCGAGAATTTGGAAAGTGATTTTATTCTTGGAATAAGTTTCAGATTGACTACAAATCATAATATGTTCTTTCCTGTCTTTTATCACTTAGTATTTTTGATGCAGTAATTAAATATTTGTTAAAATCACTGTTTTTTTAAATACTATTATGCATAATAATGCTTAATCATAAATGAAGTTTTTGTTGATGTTTTTCCAAATTAATGCTAATATTATTACTTCAAAAAAAATGTTATTTATGCTAGATAATAGATGCATTTTATAAATCTTGTTTTATACACTGATTTCATTGTTTAATTTCAGATTTTTCAATCTTTTTGTTTAAATTATATTATTAATAATGTGAATAAAATATTTCACATTTTAAGAAAAAAAACTTATGTTCAAAACGTTCAAATGCAACTAAAAATATTTGAATTTTACATATTGATACAAAGGTTTTTAAATTATTATTTTATCATTTAACTATGTTCATTAAAGAAATATATTAATACATTAGGCATTTTTTAATTTTTACATCTCTGTCAAGGTAAAAGTTCAGTTGGTTCTTTATACCTCACCTAGGTGTAATAACGTTTACTTAAAAAAATCATATTAACGTTTCGTAAACCGAGCAACAGTGCTCACAACCGAAAAAACTAACAAGGGAAGAAAATACATTTTCTATGAGTTTTCAAACGTTACCGTTTTTCTCCCGATGGCAACGTCGAAAAAATCAAAGTGGTGAATGGTTTAACATCTTTTTCCCTCTACTCTCAAATATTGTTGTTCAAAAATTCTTAACTTTACTGATTTTTAAAATGGCGGTGTAAAAGACCTTTTTACCCGCCCGCCTACCCTATTTTATTTATACTTTACCTCTAGCAAGATCAGGTCCTAGAACAGGAGCATTAAGAGCACTGGAGCAATTCCATCTCCTATCCTCCAAAAGTGTAGAGCAGGCTTCCAATGTCAAGTGGGCCGCTCTGGCCACATGGGGCATTGTGTCCAGGGCAGCTAGGCAGAGAGCGGTCTGACGCGGCGACATGCCCAAGGCCTGCCTGCAGGCCGAACCCTCATCGAAAGATTCGGGGGAAAAATGTTTCAAACCTCTGGTAAAAGATAGTAGGAATTAGTATAAAAAAAATTATTAACTAATTTAGTTTTTATAGATTTATTTCATAGTCATTACAATCGAGACATGAAAATAGAGTTATTAAAAAAATAATAAATTCTGCTAAACAAAATTTGTTAATTAAAATTTCTATAAAATATCTGATAATTAGATGTACATATGACGTAACGATTATTTTTAACCGCAAAATAATTTTGTTTAAACTTTCTTTATTGGTTCTACAAGGCTGCTGGTCCAGCCTTTCCAAAAATTCATTCCGTCAATACAAATGAGATGTTTTGTGAATCATTCAAATCAGACGGTTCTCTTAAAAACTGAATTGCCATTTTTGCACTTTTTACACCGCAGCTTTAAAATTGGCTGGATCTGCCTATGCCCAAAACTAAGCAGCACGTTTCCCCATCAGTAGGAATCAAATATTTTTTAAATCAATTAAATCGGTTGATCCGTGCTCCGGAAATTACGAACAAAAATTGTATCCGCATACATATACATTCATTTTTAGTAAGGACTAGAAAGGTAAATTTATGTAAAAAAATCTATTTAGATTTTTTTGCGATTACTATAACTTACATTAACAATAAAATAAGTAAAAATTATAAAATTGTTAAATATATTACTTGAATCTACATTCTTCTTTATTGAACATACGCCTAAAACTAAAAACGCCAGATATCCAAGTAAATTTTTACTATCTATGAAAGTAGAACTCTTACTGTTTCTGTGGAGTAATTCATGGTTGCTGAGATTAAAATTTATATTTAAATTTTAGATACAAGATTAAATTTAGTAATTACAGAAAATAAATAATCTTAATTGAATTAATTACTAAAACAATATTACACCTAACATTAGTATTATGTAATGCAATAACTCGAAGAAAAATTGTTATAATTTTGAGATATTGAAATGTTTGAAGCTTGTAAATCTTGAAATTCTTCTCATGGTGAAAAAATTTAAGATATGCTCTGATCATCTGAAAAATTGCGAACCCTGATTTCTGATTTATATAAAGATGATTATACACATTAATACACAAAATTTTCTACTGATGAAGAGAATTCTCATCGATCTCAGTTATCTAGTTTAATTAGTACAATTGCAGTTTCAAATTGAAGATTTGTGAATCAGATATCTTCACTTAAAAAAGGATTTTGTTATCTTTTGTTATCTTTTGTTATCTTTCCATTTTTAACCGGACAACAAACGAATTCTGAATATCAGGAAGGTATTCATTTTTCGGTTTTTAATTAACGTAATCCTGCTTTGAGTATGGCATCGGCATGGCATGTCGAATCGTAAATTATCAATATTCTTTTCATGGCTGTTACCGTTGGCGTAATTTATGAATTGTAAAGTTGTAATTTATAATATTAAGAGGTACAACTGGCGTGGCGAATCCGTGGATTATCGGACGAGTATTATTCCTATATTCTCGGTGAAAATACTCGTGGGATCCGCAACGAACCAGTTGGATTTAATTAATATAAATTTATAGTAACGGAAAATAATTTATTTTGCTGAGATTTTTTACTGATATAATATTTATAATAACGTAATATTTTATAATTAAGCATATGTAGTTGGTTTTAGTACTTACGTTGTACTTGGTTTTACGCAAATGTTACTTCGTTTATAACTTGAATTTTTCGTCCACTTTCGTAGAATTTTTTTGACGATTTTTATAACAATAGATTTTATAGGTTAAATTAACATACTAAAATATTACAGTCCTCCGATAAGCGCTTAAAATATAAAAATTTATCAAAGTTTAGAATTTTCCGCACTTTTGTGTAGATTCTAATCAGAATCTAACATTCGTATTTCGTTCACGGGAATTGAATGAAAGAAATGTGTTAAACAAATTAATTAAATTTATGCAAATAGATGAAAATTATGTTAAACTAGTGGGGTGTATGGCATCGTGCCTTATGGCAAATTGCTGGAACTTCCCGTACCGTAACGAAATGTTCGAGGAATAGATTATTATAAATATTGTAACATTGTATAATATTTATAAAAATTATATAAACTGAATTCTAAAGTTAAAATTATTTGTTTAAAGTATGTTAGAACTTTAGTCAGAATTATAAATAAAATCTGAATTATTTTCGACAAAAAAAAAATTTTCCTGAAAAACAAATTATTTTGTAAAACAAGCAGAAAGTTCTTTGAATCGGACGCTTAGTTCCCTCCAAAACTGCCATTTTTTGCAGATTTAGCTCTGTATCTTTGAAATGGCTGGGCCTGCCTTTGCCAAAAACTAATAAACACTTTTCCCAATCATTACTAATAGAATGTTTTTTAGATAATTCAAATCGGATACTCCCTTCTCTCAAAAACTCGATTTCCCTTTTTTGCACTCATTGCTCTTCATATCCGTGACTGCTGGACCTGCCTTTGCCAAAAACTAATCAACACATTTCCTCAATCCTTATCAATAGGAATCGAATGTTTTTTGAACCATTCAAATCGATTGATCTGTGAGCCCGAAAACGTGACTGGAAAATTGTATCCATACATACATACACACACACATCTATTTTTTCAGAGGTATGCCAAAACGTTCAGAAGCCTTCAAAACGTGAAGAAATGTGAAAAATTTCAATTTCGATTTTTGAACGATTACAATAACTTACCCTACGGGAAGTTAATAAATTCATTACATTTATACAATTATAGATATCATAGGTGAGTTTGAAGAACATCATTTGGAAATTGCATTGATTAGTTTTCACTAAAATCGCCCAGGATGTTTCGTCGCAATTAAAAGTTGAGAAAAAAATTTCAGGCTATTTTCATGAAACTTTGTATAACGACAGATGTTGCAGGTTAAATTAACATACTAAAATATTATAGGCTTACGATAAGCGGTTGTATTATAAAAAATCATCAAAGTTTAGGTTGTGACATAGAATTTTAATCAAATGAATTAGAATAAAACAATGAACGCTCTGTGTTTTGTTGGCAGTAAAAATCAAAGTTCGAAACTAAAAGCTTTACCATTTTACCATTACTACTGGTTCCCTGTCTAAAGCATTTGTCCATTGTCATCATCATCAAGACACCTAAAACTGTATTTCCGCTCAACTTAAAATGGTCCAGTGGATTAAATGAATATGAATGAACAAGAATGTACGAGATATCAGTCTCTTAATTCGCATACAGACAGACGGGGACTTAATTATGCAATATGAGTGTTTATTAAACCCAGAAATTTTTACTAGAGCGATGTCAGTTTCCTTTAGGAATTACGTGGGATGATTACAATCTATTAGCCAGACCGGATAAATGAACTCTTTAAGAATATATTTAATCCTGGGATTATTAGAAGAAAAAGTGGTATACTTCGTCAAGTAGAGTAGACAGATGTTGGGTATTATTTAGAGTTTATAAATGACGCAGTGGTTTATCCTTGCATAAGTTTTCAATTATATGGTCGATATTTATATAATCGGAAATTAATTTCTTACACGTTACACTTCTATTTTGCTTTTAATAAGAAAATATTCCTCAATAAGTTGATGAATTAAAAAATTAAAAACCATGGCATCAACTTTTAATATTAATTGCAAACTTAATTTGCATATATAGAACTACCCTTAAATGTACGTTCTCTATTGATTTAATATCATTTTGTATTGTTTTTAAAATAAAATTAATATTCTCAAAAATTCTCTATTACTGCAAATATTGCTTCAGAATTGATATTTGTTTATAAGATTAAACAAATATATATAGAATGATTTTGAAAAAAAATGATTAAAATAATAACGCTTAAGTAGTAATATTTTTTCAATTAAATTGTTAATTTAAGTATTTATTGTTTTAGTTAATATATTCATAAAATCTATAATTGTAAAAGTTTTTTAAAATTAATACTTGTCCATAGGATTAAAAAACTTAGAATGCTGACCTAAAATAATTTAATTATATTAATGGTAATTAAATTAATAATTTTTTTTTTTATTTTCTTGTTATTGTTAATATATAAAATATTCTTTATCTGCAGATATTGTTTCAAAATGAATACATTACTATAAGAGTGAATTAAGAAATAATGACATAAATTAATTAAAACAATGGACCTTTTTGTATAAATATTAAATTGAACCTAATATAAAAATTTAAATTAAGATAATAAATAAATATCTAACCAGAGTTGCCAAATATCTGAAATCAGTCAAATAGTTCTCTGTTTTTAAGTTTTGATGACAATTTAATAAAAATTCATAATTTAAGTACAAATTATAAAACATAGTTTTTCCTTCTAAAACATTTTTAAATGGCCATACGATTTTAAATAAAATGTCAGAAAATAAAAAAGAGATATTCATAGGAGATAATGTATTAAATGCATTTACTCTCAGCAATTGTCTTAAAAAATGTATATAATTCGATTGGCAATAAACCAACCATGCAAAAAAAACATTTTAATAATTTATAGTAATTTATAATATAATTTTTCACAATAATTATTAATTTAAATGTCTAAAAGCTTGCAAATAATATATATGTCCAATAATATTCATTAGCCATATAATGTATTCTGAATAATTTATTTTCTGATGGTTTAAGTTTTTTTTATTTGAAAGTTTGTAACAGTTTTCTTTGTCTTATATAATATGATTTTACTATACTAAATATTATGATTTTCTTTTAGAATATTATTATTGTCACGCAATACTGCGGAAACTGCATTGCAATGAAAATAAATTTTCAATATTTGCATACATTGTTGGCTTTGAGATATATCGTTTTGAATGCGAAAACTGAGATAATAATCTGTAACTATTTTATATATATATATATATATATATATATATTGCAGATATTCCTGTTCAGATTTAGTGTAAATATTTAGCTATTATTTAACATTTTGCTCAAACATAATCCCATCGTCTTGCATATATTATACAAAAACCTTTCCTTTCTCGCATCTTGAACTATAATATCGCGGCTATTTCAGATATTTTAGTTATACCACGTCATAATTTAACATCAAACGTCAAAGTGCAGCGTCAAAGGCTTTGTAAATACTTTAGGAATTCCTCAATCCATTGCATAT